GGGGGGGGGGAAAGAGAGAGAGAGAGAGAGAGAGAGAGAGAGAGAGAGAGAGAGAGAGAGAGAAGCCCTATGCCTCAGTAGGCTGAGGTGTCACATTCCACTCTCACCACGCACAGAAATTTCAACTTTGCCCCACTTGGCAGCATATCTGGACATCATCTGGCCTCGAGGGTGCCAGCCTGGATTTTCTGGGACTCCCTGCCTGCTGTTTATTCAGTTTGCTCAAAACAGCTTGCCACTGTGTATAACGTGCCGGCGTTTTTAAAAAGAGGGCAGGGATAGCTTGATTTGTTGTTGTGTTTCTATTTCTAGAATTTTAAAATTTAAAATACTGGTTTTTCTTCACTTTAAAGTATATTTATTTCCAAACATATGGTCTTGTCTTTGTAGATAACATGCCTAAGGCAGAAGTTAGAGGCAGTGATTTTAAAAGTCAAGGTCATTGTTGATCATATTCTACCAGCCTGGGATACTTGTAACCCTGTCTCAAACTAAATCAATGAGGTAAAATGTACACTAGAGTTCAAGACTTAGAATGTCCCTGGTGGTGGTGACACATGCCTTTAATCCCAGAACTTGGGAGGCAGAGGCAAACGCTAGTGAATCTCTGAGTTAGAGGTAAACCTGGTCTATAGAGCAAGTTTTAGGACAGCCAGGGCTACACAGAGAAATCCTATCTCAACAAAACAAAACACAGAACAGTAAATAACAAAACAAAACAAAACACAAAAAACAAACAAAAAGACTTAGAATGTAAGAAATAATGTAGAATATTTCACTAATTTTTGTATTATTATATGAAATGACAATATTTTAGGTAAATTGGGTCAAATAAAAATATAATTAAAATAAAAAACAAAATGTGTTTAAAACCAATGGCTTTTCTTTTTTAAAATATTACATGAACATTTTGTTTATTTATTTATTTGTCTCTTTCTTTCTTTCTTTCTTTCTTTCTTTCTTTCTTTCTTTCTTTTGTGTGACTGTGTGTTGCCATGGCACCCACGTGAAAGTCAGTGGACAACATTGGAGAGCTGGCTTTCTCTTTTCACTATGTGGGTCCTGGGAATCAAACTTCAGGTTTCCAGGCTTGGTAGCTGAGATGAGGTGCCAGCCCCACTGCTGGTTCTAAAAATTGTGTGTTCTACTCATGTTATTTGAGTGCAGTGAAGCAGAACATATTGACATATTTTGAAGAAAATTAAGTATTCTTTTTTAATTTTTAAATTTTTCTTTTATGTTTATGATTATTTTGCTTTCATGCATGTCTGTGTACCTCATGCCTGCCAGGTACTCTTGGAGGTCAGAAGAGGAGGTCAGATCCTCTGGAACTGGAGTTAGAGATAGTGATGATCTGCTTGTAGGTGCTGGGAATCGAACCTGGATCCCCTGGATGAGCAGCCAACGCTTTTAACTACAGAGCCATCTTTCTGGCACCTGTATTCATAATTTTATAATGTGACAAAATTAATTTTTTGGTAGTGCATTGTCTGTCTTAGGGTTCCATTGCTATGAAGAGACACCATGACCAAGACAACTCTTATAAAGGCAAACATTTCATTGGTCTGGCTTACAGTTTCAGAGGTCCAGTCCATTATCAATTTAACAGGAGCACGGTAATATGCAGGCAGACATGGTGCTGGAGAAGGAGCTGAGTGTTCTGCATCTTCGAAGTCGCTAGAAGAAGACTGTCTTTCAGGCAGCTAAAAGGAGAGTCTCAAGGCCCACCCCCACAGTGACACACTTCCTGCAACTAGGCTACACCTACTCCAACAAGGCCACACGTCCCAATAGTCCTGATAGTGTCACTCTCTGGGCCAAGCATATTCAAACCACCACATGCACCAATCCTTAATATATATATATATATGATATTGGTTTCTTGGGATTTGAAAAAATAAAAAGGTATGTGGCTTTCACTGAAAGTCTGCAGCGGCAAGGGGCACCCTATGGCAAGCCAACTGTTTTCCAGGTACGTTTTCTCTCTTGCACTTCCCAGTGTCTTCACCGGCTGCGATATCTTTTTCTTCAAATCCTATTTTGTTGGCTCCTAAGAAATCAAGTACATCTGGCTGTGTCTTCTTAACCATGGTAGAGCCAGAAGGAGATACGCCTGTGCATTGATGACCTGGGAGCATGGGTATGGTGGCTGGAGTCCCGACAGGGGCTGTGAAGCAGCTACAGCAACTGCTGCGATCTGTGTAAACATTTTCTGTGCTCTCTTTCAGCTTTTAGAACTATATACAATAAATACGCAGTAAACACCAGACCTTATTTCTCAGAGCTAGGGACAGCCTAGTACCCCTTGATCAACACATCCTCATTCTCCCCACTCCCAACACTGACTTTTTTATTGAATTGTTAAATGAGATTTTGAAAAATACTCAGAGTGTCCTAGCTAGTTTTAACTGTCAACTTGACACAGCCACCTGACCCAGTCATCTTAGAAGGCAGCCTTAATTGAGAAAATACCCAGATCAAACTGGACTGTGGGCGTGTCTGTGGAAAGAATGTCTTCATTGTTAATTGGTGTAAGAGGCCCAAGGCCACTGTGGGCAACACCATTCCCTTTGCAGGTTGTCCCAGGCTATGTAAAAAGCCAGTTAAACATACATCAAGCAAGCCAGCAGGCAGTGTTCCTTCGTGTTTTCTGCTTCAATTTCCTGCTTGGGTTCCTACTCCAACTCTTCTCAATAATAAACTGTGACCTGGAAGTATAAGCCAAATAAATTCTTTTTTTCCCCCAAAGAAGTTTTGGTCAGCATGTTGTTTGTTTGGTCGGTTGGTTTGGTTTGATTTGGTTTGGTTTGGTTTGGTTTCAGCAACTGAGTGTGACCAGGAAACAGAGATTCAAGCCTAAGATGCCTTGTTTCTAACGAGGCTTGGGGAGTAGAAGTAACAGGTGAGAGTACCAGCGTCCTGTACTGTGTGGACCAGGGTCTGATCACAGCACCTGCCCAGCTACTTGTTTGCTATTAAAACTAAAAAAAAAAATGCCAGCCAGGCATGGTGGCATAGACATTTAGCCCCAGCCCTCAGGAGGCAGCCTGGTCTATAAACCGAGTTCCTGGACAGCCAGGGTTACACAGGTAGATAAACAAGTAAATAAGTAAATGAATGAATGACATAAAATATGCCACCACAGCCTCAGAGACGCCACCCACATCCCCCTTCTTTGGTAGCCACACTCTCTCATTTCACCCTATGGGTTTTTGCTCTCAGGTCACTTGAGGTATGAAACGCAACAGTCTATTTCCCCTGCTATCAGGGAGAGAAGCTCAGTCTTCCTCCAAGGGTTTCATTGCTTACCACAACAGAGATTAGAAACACTAGGAATGCCATTAACATTAGTTGTATATAAATCCAACATACTCCCAAAGTCTTTGCACCTAGTCTTCGGTTTGTGAATCTCATGGGGTGGACTCAGCCGTCCAGGAAGCACACTCTGCTCTATGCCTCTGTGGCTGGGATTCTATGAGCTCCAGCATAACCTGATTTTGCTAGAGTATCGTCAACTCAGGCAGGTTTTAGACACCTCAGGGTCAGCCTGATCTAATTTTTGTTCTAGAAAATTCTCAGACAATGTCTTATCTGTCATTATCTCTGCATACTGACCTAGGTCATCCTCTGTTTCCTTCTAGTCTTGGGCTAAACTTCAGTTGAATTTAGACCTTTCCTCTGGATCCTGTATGATCTTGCCTTCTCTCCAGCATTTTTCTGTCATTACCTTTTTGTTTGCTTTTAATATTTCATTTCTTATCATTTCTTCCTACCAACTTTCCAGTTTGTTTGTTTCCTCATGAGCTCTGTTGAGTATGCTGTTCTATCTACTCCCACGTTTGCCTCTGTGTGGTAAACATAACACTGACAAGCACAGCATTTAAAGTTCAGTCTCAAATGTACAGCAGCCTCCACTACCTGTTCCTAAGCTATTTCACCACACAGAAGAAGACTCCACCCTGAGATGGCAGTGTCATCCTCTGAACCATCTCTCCAGCCTCAGTCATACAGGTTACAACCGACTAAACATACATTTTAGTTTTATACTTTCAGTCACAGATAGGACTTTCCTAAGCACACAGATTTCTAGGTGTCATTTCAAACCTAGTAAAATAGAGTTCAAAAGTTGTGCCCAGACCAGCATAGCTACAACATCTTTATGGATAATTCAGCTCATTAAGAACCATGTCTTTGGATGAAAGAGAAAAAAAGAGATTGTAAAGTTATAGAGAATGAAATAGCTAGCCATGGAACAATTTACATAAGATGGTGATTGCCTTAGTTGCAGTTACCACCGCTCTGATGAAACACCATGACCAAAAGCAACGTAGGGAGGAAAGGGTTTATTTGGCTTATGCTTCCACATCACTGTTCATCACTGAAGGAAGTCAGGACAGGAGCTCAAGCAGGGCAGGAACCTGGAGGCAGAGCTGATGCAGAGGCCGTGGAGGAGCATTGCTTACTGGCTTGCTCATCATGGTTTGCCCAGCCTACTTTCTTATAGAATCCAGAGCTACCCTTCCTCATCAATCACTAATTGCTCTATAGGTTTAACTACAGCTACATCTTTTGAGGCATTTTCTTAATTGAGGTTTCTTCCTTTCAGATGACTCAGCTTGTGTCAAGGTAACAGAACTATCCAGTCCAGTAAATATATATACCATTACGAAAAGCAATTTTTAAAAAAGAAAAAGACAAGGAGGCTATGGTGATATCTCAGTTGGTAATGTGCTTACCTTGCAAGCATGAGCAAGACCTGAGTTTGATGCCTGGAATCTACCTGTTGGTCCCTTGTAACGCTAGTGTTGGGGAAGCAAAGGCAGACAGATCCTTGGGTCTCTCTAGCCAGCCACCCCAGCTTAATCAGTGGGCCTCAGGCCAACCAGAGACTATTTCTCCAAGGTAAACAGGGCCTGAGGAACACCACCCATGGTGTGCACACACACACACACACACACACACATACACACACACAAATATAACTATTGTTATAAGCACTGACTACATATAAACTCAGAAAGCATATGTTAGACAACCATGAGTGTTCATGAGATATGTCTGTGTGATAGCCTTTGGCTTTTTGTATTTTAAAATAAAGACCTTGGCCTGCCTGCATCATTTACTTGCCAGCACATCTGTTGGAAACTACTACAAAAGATCAGCTGAAACAACTAACCTCATTGGACTGAGCAACTAGTTTCTCGGACTTCCCCTCCACAGCTGTCTGTTGTGGGTTAGTTGGACTACGAACTACTATTCAGAGCTGGGAGAGCTCCCTCCACGCTCCCCTTTGGAACCAGTGTGTGAAGACAGACCATTTGGCCCAGTGCAGGAGGAAAAGAAGAGGAGCTCCCGGGAGCTCCGAGAACTGTGGAAAAAGGCCATCTTGCAACAGATCCTGCTGCTCAGGATGGAGAAGGAGAATCAGAAGCTACAAGCCTCTGAGAATGATTTGCTCAACAAACGCCTGAAGCTTGATTATGAAGAAATCACTCCGTGTCTTAAAGAAGTAACTACAGTGTGGGAAAAGATGCTTAGCACTCCGGGAAGATCCAAAATTAAGTTTGACATGGAAAAAGTACACTCAGCTGTCGGACAAGGTGTGCCACGTCATCACCGGGGTGAGATCTGGAAGTTTCTAGCTGAGCAGTTCCACCTTAAACATCCATTTCCTAGTAAACAACAGCCAAAGGATGTGCCCTACAAAGAGCTCTTGAAGAAGCTGACCTCCCAGCAGCATGCCATTCTCATAGACCTCGGGCGAACATTTCCAACACATCCATACTTCTCTGCCCAGCTTGGAGCAGGTCAGCTGTCACTTTACAACATTCTGAAGGCCTACTCACTTCTGGACCAGGAAGTTGGATACTGTCAAAGTCTCAGCTTTGTAGCAGGCATTTTGCTTCTTCATATGAGTGAGGAAGAGGCATTCAAGATGCTCAAGTTCCTGATGTTTGACATGGGTCTGCGGAAACAGTATCGGCCGGACATGATTATTTTACAGATCCAGATGTACCAGTTGTCACGGCTCCTCCATGATTACCACAGAGACCTCTACAACCACCTGGAAGAGCACGAGATTGGCCCCAGCCTCTACGCAGCTCCCTGGTTTCTCACCGTCTTCGCCTCCCAGTTCCCACTTGGCTTTGTAGCCAGAGTCTTTGATATGATCTTCCTTCAGGGATCAGAGGTCATATTTAAAGTAGCTTTAAGTCTTTTGGGGAGCCATAAGCCCTTGATTCTGCAGCATGAGAACCTGGAAACCATAGTGGACTTCATAAAGAACACACTCCCCAACCTGGGCTTGGTGCAGATGGAGAAGACCATCAGTCAGGTGTTTGAGATGGACATCGCCAAACAGCTTCAAGCCTATGAGGTTGAGTACCATGTGCTCCAAGAAGAACTTATTGATTCCTCTCCTCTCAGTGACAACCAAAGAATGGATAAATTGGAGAAAACTAACAGCAGCTTGCGCAAACAGAACCTTGACCTCCTGGAACAATTGCAGGTGGCAAATGCTAGGATCCAAAGCCTTGAAGCCACGGTGGAGAAGCTTCTGACCAGCGAGAGTAAGCTGAAGCAGGCTGCGCTGACACTGGAGGTGGAGCGCTCCGCCCTGCTGCAGATGGTGGAAGAGCTGCGGAGGCAAGGCGCCCAGCCCAGCACTCCAGAGCCAGACTGCACCCTGCTGGAACCTACAGGTGACTGACAGCTGCCAGGAGAGACTGCGCACCACTAACACTGTCCAGGCCTTAATCAAGAGAGACGGAAGGCAGAGGCAGAGAAGAGAGAACTTCTCAGGGAGGAAACTGGCTGACCAGCCTGTAGATTCTTTTGAGCTCAGACTTGGAATTGGAGGACAAAAGTCTCAGTTATTGTTGTTTTTGGTTCTAATTCGTCCCCTTTCCAGTCCTGGTTGTTGTAGCTTTAGATGGCATGGACATGAATAAATTACATTTATGGTTCCAAAAAAAATAAAATAAAGACCTTATGCTATTCTAAATATCAGAAAAGTAAGTGGGTATAAAATTGGCACCCAGAAGGTACAAACTTTGGCAGAAGTCAGGGTGGAACAGATCCGGAACAGGGTAATTTAACATTCAGTGAAAAGAAATGGTATCTGGCCCAAGAGATGGTTCCATAGTTAAGCAGGTTTGCTGCCACAACTGACAATGTAAGTTCAATTCCCCAAACCCACACAGTGGAAGGCGAGAGCTGATTTCTGCAAGTCTGACCTCCGCCGCAATGAAAGGAAGATGGAGGGTGAAGTGGGAAAACCGGAAGATTTAGGGCCAGGTTCTGTTCTCTTTATGAGGCAAGAGATATGCTCAGCTGTAGAGATGGGCGGAAGGCTAGAAGAGGAGCCATATAGTGGTAAGGAAGGATTTAAGTTCTAGGTCCTGTAAAACTTCTGGAAATTGTGATCACGGTTGTGTATACACATTGTTTTCTATGGATGTGATAATTTCTTAAAAGAGTCTGTGATCTATTTTTCCTCAGAACTGGGAAGGTGGCCTCTAAAATGTGCTATCTCTTAGCTTTCTGTGGGAAGGAGGGGGTGGGGGTAATCTTGCTGTTTTGCAAGGATTCCTGATGCATATTTGTTCCTTTGGCGACATCTTGTGGTCAAATAGATGTACTACAAAGTGAGTTACGAATTGTGGCTCTGGTAGTTTGTAAAAAAAAAAAATCTTGAGAGATTAGTTTCTCAGAAGTTATGAAAAAAGATAATTATTATTATATTTTCTTACACTGTTGATATATATAACTTGTTAATAAAAGATAATTATTATTATATTTTCTTACACTGTTGATATATATAACTTGTTAATATATATAACTGATAAACCGTGGTCAGTCTTGGATAGTTGTATTCTGGGAATTAAAACTTTTTGGAAGGGAAACATTCCCTCTTCCTCAGAAGATTCCAACGTGCACTCAAGTCCCAGCACCTCTGGCTTAAGACCTTGCTCTTCCCAGTGTGATTTGTGGGCAGTAGCATCGGTGTCCTCTGCAACTTGTTAGATACACAAGCTCTAACTTTTGAATCAGCCAGCATCACATTTCAAAAGCAGCTACTCCCTGAGTGTTAAATTTCCCACCCCTCCTGGGGCTCTTGCCTCAGACTCCCAGCCAGGGAACCAACACCCCACCTACCTCTCTTCTGCCTAGCTATAGGATGTCACCATCTTTATTCAACCAATAGTTTTAAGTTAAGGAACAATGTATGTACAGATTCTCTCATCCCTGGGGGCAACCAGGCCTTGGGGGCCAGTATTTAGCATTTTAACACATAGCAAAAGACCAAACCTGAACCCACCCTTCCTTCCTTCCTTCCTTCCTTTCTTCCTTCCTTCCTTCCTTCCTTCCTTCCTTCCTTCCTCCCTTACTTCCTTTTTCTTAGTTTTTATGACACAGTGTCTCTCTGTGTAGCCTCTTGGCTCTCCTGGAGCTCTGTAGACCAGGCTGGCCTTGAACTCAAGAGGTCCACTTGCTTCTATCTTTCAAGTGCTGATTTTAAAGGCTGTGCCACCATGCCTGGCTGTGTTTCTCCTATAGAAAGTGTGTTACTTTATGACCCTGTGTGAAGACTTTTATGGTAAGAAATCTGGTCTGTGGTAGAGCCATCATCTCTCTCCTGCAATGTCCCCATGATCTCTTTTAATGCATTTGAGGACAATAGTATTCTTCTCTTTATCTTTTTCTTTGAGCCCTTACCCTTCTAAACACCCTGTGTCTTAGGTCTATATACAATACTTTTGCAGAACTTTTTCTGGTAATTCCACAATAAAAATGGTTGTCAGACTGTGTCCAATCTTCTGCTTGTCAGAAAGCAATGAGGAGCTACAAGAAACTCTAAAAAGAAAAATGATTCTTTTCTATGTTTGTTATGTCATACCTCCAAACTCAAAGTCCCTGTTCCTGTCCCGGCTACTGTGGCTTACTCTCTTCTGATTGACCACATCATGCCTCTGGACATCCTTACATGTTATCATCACTTCTTAAAACTAAGCAAGTTTTCCTGTTAGCCAGTCCCAGGCGTGTCCTTCTCTGAGTATGTTAGTCTCAACATTTCACTCTGTCACCTATCTTTGGGCCTAGGGCTGCTGTGCCTGCCAATCGTACTGCATTCTGCCTTCCTTTGGGTCATTTGAACTACTTGTGTAGCTACTCCGTCTTTGGGTGGCCATTTCCTATAGAGCAGCGGTTCTCAACCTGTGGGTCATGACTCCTTTGGGGATCACGTATCAGATATTTACATTATAATTCGTAACACTAGAAAATTACAGCTATGAAGTAGTACTTAAGTAATTTTATGGTTGGGGGCCACCTCAACATGAAGAACTGTATCAAAGGGTCACAGCATTAGGAGGTTGAGGACCACTGGTGAAGAGTCTTTCAGAGAAGTTCACTGCCATCTCTTTTGCAGTCCTCTTTACTTTAGGAATTGAAATCACCTAAAATTGCCCAAAATTTCTTGCCCACAGAATGTACAGTGTTTCAGAGAGAATTTTGCAATATTTGTTGATTTTGAAATCTGGATCATGGAGCTGGAGAGATGGCTAAGCAGTGAAGAGTACTTAGAGGGCAGGGGTTCGCGTCCCAGCACCCACGGAGCAGTTCAAAACTACCTATACTCCAGTTCCAGGGGATCTGACTCCTTTTCTGGACTACAAGAGCACCAGACAGTCATCTGCTTTCAAAACCATTTGATCAAAGGCGCAAGGGTATTTATATAAGGAATTTGTACCAACCTTTTTACAGAAGGTGTGTTCAAATAAAATATAATATAGATTGATATAACCGATAAAGTAATGAGGTAAAGCTATCTGTATTGAATGGATAGTGTGTTAAATACAATTAATGAAATGTGAGTCACAGATATATATTATCCCATTTTGTTTAAAATAATGGTATACTGTCTATCAAACATATAAAACACAGTCTATATAATTATAGTATCTAGTCCATTCAAACAGTATAGTATACATATACAATGTCTTGCCCATATGCAGCACAGAGCACATACTAGCATATACAGGTCAGCTAACTGTATACTCTGGGTTGAATTCAGATTGCTACCTGGTCTTATAAATAAAATTTTATTGGGTCAGTATGCCACTTTGTTTAAATATCTGTTCACAGTTGGTTTTGTTCAATAGCAGAGGGCCCTGCTGCATATTTATTGAATAGGTTCTGATCATTAAGCTCCTTTAGAACTACTGAGACCAGCAAGATAATCAGATTTGTTTTCATGTGGGCTGGCTAGTGTCAGAGTATAGACTCTGGGAAGCCGTAGGAAGCTACACTTGACCATCCATCCTTGACAGGCCACTTAAATGAACAATAGTAAAAGGCAGAACTGTGAGGCTTATTCAGTGTGGCTGCACTGGAGAGAAGAGAGGAAGAAGTAGCCGGGTGGTGGTGGTGCACACCTTTAATCCCAGCACTTGGGAGGCAGAGACAGGCGGATTTCTGAGTTCGAGGCCAGCCTGGTCTATGGTGTGAGTTCCAGGACAGCCAGGACTATACAGAGAAACCCTGTCTCGAAAAACCAAAAGAGAGAGAGGGAGACACAGAAAAGTACTGGCTGTCCTGGAACTCACACCACTGTCTGGGCTTCAGGCTCTCCTGCATGGCAGTCTAAGTCTGAACCAAATGAAAACTCTTTCTGGGAGACAGGCTCCCTCTCTGACTGTCTTCAGCCTTTCCCTTCTTCCAGCATTAGATTCCATGGGAAATTCTCATTTCCTGGGGGGGGGGGTCACTTGTCTAAATACTCTGATAGGCAAAGAAGATTAAAAGCAAGTGTCTCATCAGAATATTCTCATCCCTGCTAGGTGGTTACATACAGAATAGTTTCCTTTTGGTCCATGCTTCTCCTGTCTGTTCAGTGTTTTATTTGTCAACTGTGTTTACAGTGAAAGAAATCCCCTCCCTCCTTGCCGTGGGAAAGGCAAACAGCCACATAGACCTAGGAGGCTGCCAAGTTTTGTGGGCAATCAAGGGGCCAGCTAGTTAGCTATTAACCATCAGACAACATAATTTTGTTCCGTTTTGACCTTGGCACCTCTCTTTGCAGAAGGCTTTTCCCGTGACATTTTTGCGCTGGGAGGTTAAGCAGATTTCTCCTTCCTCTCTCTAACTGGATCCAGGCAGCAGCAGTTGGAATCTGGGCAGTTGGATCCCAGCAGCTTGAGGTAGAAGTCACAGGCAACCTGGCAGTCAGTGGATCTGGGATGGGTGGGGCTGGAGGGAAAGTCTCAAGAAGCTGAATGATTTATCTCAGCACCTTGCTATTTACTGGTGGCCTCTCAAGGCACTGCCGTCCTTATTATTTTATACGTAATGGCACAGAATTGTGAAAACATTGAGCTATTTTGGGAAAGCTTGAGAAGCAAAAGGGTTGTGTGGGAACTAATGGGGAAGAAGAGGTCATTTGAGGTAAAGAGAAGGGATAACTGCCAGCTATTGGGGTGAAGAACTTCCCACTTTCTCACCCAAAGCTGGTACTGTCACAGTTTTAACTTAAAACAAACAAACAAAACAAAAGTTAGATTTGAAACAAGGTCTGACTGTGTATTCTAAGATGGTTTGGGATTTGCTATGTATCTCAGACTGGCTTTGAATCTGTGACCTTCCTGCCTCTGCATCCCAATGGCTGGTTGTCTGGTCCCAAAGGAACTCAGAACTAACGGCTAACCGCGGTGCCTATTAGCATACTAAAGCTGACTCTGGCTAAGGTCGCTCGGTACCTGCGTACCTGCGGCTCCTCTCAGCTCTTCCGACCCCGCCTCAGCTCTTCTGACTCCGCCCCCTACGCTAAACCTCTCCAGCCCAGGGGCTTTGCTTCCACAGCTTCTCCTTCCTATAAAACACTTCCATTTCAGCTGTGCATTCTCTTGGTTCTCTGCTCTTGGCTCCTTTCTCTCTTGGTCCTCTCTCTCAGTCTCCTTTG